ATATATATATATACACACACACACACACACACACACACACACACACACACACACTTTGGTTGGTATCATAACAACTAATCAAGAATGGTAATGCACAAGTTGTCACAACAAATGGTGAAAACACAACACAGTCAATACAATTTTTTTGCTAGTACGTACTAAATGATAATGTTGGGGTTTAATTTTCATTTAGAAGTACAGTATTTAATTTGTGTTTTTTTTTCATAAAAATGTTAAATTTAAAATAAATACTTTGATTTAGTGTGATCTGTTTACAAAATGCTTAAAAAAATTTTAAAAAATAATTTAGGTTTATAAGAGAATTGACATAAACCAATGATGATAATTATGCACTGGATTAAAGTGGTTCTTTATGACTTAACTATTTTAAATAATTTAACTAATTATCTAGTGAAAATTCAAACAACCATAATGTTTTGCAGGATAAAATCATAGAAATGCAAGAAAATGAATAGTGAGGGAAGAAGAAAAGAAACCATACACAATGCAAATAACAAAGTGAATGTGATAAAAATCTAAGCTACAAAAAGACATTCATCAGTAAACACAAAATTTATCTCTTGCTTCAGAAGGCATAACATTGTTTTGTGAAAAAAAAAAAATAAAAGAAAAAAGACAGATAACACTAAACATGCAGCATGGATTAACGGTCACAAACTATAATCCTTTGACTAACAACAGCTGGATCAAGCAAGGCTAGCAATCAGCAACTGCTGGACCAAGCAAAGGCTAGCAAAACTGAACCAGCAAAGAATGGAAAACATGCTTGCAGAAGAACAGGCATTGCAAAACGGAACACATGTATGATCTTGGTTTTGTGGGTTGGGAGGTAAACAGTACTCTAAAAGCATGTAATAATTCTCTGTTGTTGCAAATTGTAAATTTAAATTTGGAGGTTTTAAAGCAACGTTCTTTAGTGCATTTCCAAGTCAATTGTTGTGATGTTCGTTTTGCAATGGTGTCGCGTATCATACCGTGATACTTCCAGTAAAGTAACGTTTGAGATTAGCGGCTGAATCATCGTCACCGTGATACAGCTTGTAACAAGAGACAAGAAGAAGCAATATAAGTAACATTGCTTAATGTTTTCTTACCACCCTTAAGTGTTACTTCAAAATCAATATAAACTAACAAAAGGTAAAAAAAAAAACCCAATAAATTTCTGGAATAGTCACACATACCTGCATATAATAATAATTATTAGGCACTCTACGCCGGAAAAGTAACCCAACCGACCCCAGAGGGCATGAAAAGAAGTTAACCTAACCATAGTTAGCAACAAGCATACTCGTTTCATTAAGATTTATTATAATTTTAATGCAAGATGAAACTATATTAACCTTAATTCCCCTTATCACAAATAGCAAAAATAGATTAAATGTTGGGAGCGCTAACATTATTTCAGAAATTTCTAGGGTCCTCTACTTCCATTGCAACCAAGGCATTTAAAATGGTACATACAATTTAAGGTAAAAAAAAAAAATCACAGTAATTATTTGACAGAAACCATTAACAGACAGCAGAATTTTTTGTGTATAAAAAGTTATCAAAGCTTCAAGTGTTGGCAGCTTAAGTTGTCCTATTACACAACTAAAGCCTACACCAAACCTGAATCTCCAAAACACAGGGCCTGCAAGTGGTATGCTGTAAATCCAGAATTTCAAGCTGTTGCTGGGACCATTTGGAAAACTCTGTACTGACATGGGTTGATATAACTCTGAATGGATACTTCTGACATTGTTCCATGTGAAGAACGTTTTGACGGCTTTTTTGCTATTTGTGACAGGTAATCCTTTCCAATTTGAAATATTTTCATTTGCCTCTTTAAGCAGAAACCCTTGCAAGCTTTATCGATTTGCTAAGACTTTAACTGTATCAGGTTCAAAGGGCAAATAATGAATGAATATTCCCTAATGTAGATTAGAAATAGCATCATTTCACATGCATCCTAGTTTTTACTTAGCGGAAAACCATACCTGCATGATCAGTTGGTTTAAAAAAAAAGATAACAGTATGGAATACATAGCACAAAAACGGAGGACTATCACCTCAAACATTTTGCCTGTTATTTCTGTATCAGGGATAATTTTCTTCCAAGGCCATAAAATAAATAATAATTACAATAAATCATATAAATTATTATGCATCTGCTACACTAAGGCCTAGACACAAGGGTTTAGCATGACAAGTTACTGTAAGGGAGGATAGTCTAGCACACATTAATGAGAGCAAAAACAAAACAAGCATTGCTTCATATAGCACCTTATAGGAACTGTCGTAAATTTGGTTACATAGTATAAACGTTCACTGGTAGTACATTTAATAAGGTACAAGTCAATTAAAAATACACTGATGTTTGAAATAAGATCGGCAAGTAAACAGATAGTGGCCTTTTGATTGTCTATTTGTTCTACAGCTCAAAGTCCAAATCAGCATGAGAGGAAAAAAAAACCACTGACTGACAACCTCTTTCACTTTGATTCAACAACTCTGTAAACTAAATCAAGACGACGCTGATTCTTACCTGTCGATTCAAGACCATTTTGTCGTTTACGCGAGCGATGTGTTTGTGGTGGCTTTTCTTTTTAGGTCTGCAACATGCCCAGATTGTGAGGATTGTGGCTATTACGATGACTAGGCCAATGACAACACATATTATTAACGTCAAACTTGAGTTCTTTAATGTTGTAGGCACATGTGATATGCCTCCTGGTTTGGCCGTTGTTAGATCTTTAGCTGTCAATAAACATTTAATTAAAATTCTTATTGTTGCATATAATACTGAAATCATTTTACCACTTTGTATAGTAAAACTGTAAATATTTCTAGATTGAAAAAAAAAATTAATTTTAATTTAAACGGTTATAGTGCCAAGGATTAAACATCTCCCCCACCACAAATTTAAGTTTTAATACAATACAATAGTATAATGAAGGGTCGATAAACTAATGATTCTTATCTATTAACAATGAATCATTATTTTGTTAGTAGAGCCATGGTCTTTGTCAATCATTAAATATACTAGTCAGATTAATATTATGATTGCAAGCAATGCTTCGTCATTCCTTGTGTAAATGATGACATGATAAGATGTGATTGATGAATTCATGACAATTGGAATTACCCAATTAAATACAGAATTATAAAATGTATATTTTGTTTTTAGATATCCATAAAAACTTGTGACATAAGACTAACATAACTGTTTTTTTTTTTTTTATATATATATATAAATTTTGTGATTGGTGGTTTTTTTTAAATTTTCATTTTATTCATTTCAGCAAAATACAAAAGGACAAAAAAAAACCCCACATAAATCGTACTTTACACTTTGGACTCTCAATTCTCACATGTTCTTTTTTGAGAGGGGTGATTAACCATAAGAATAATAAAATTCTCTCACTAGTTTAATTAAACTAAATCTTGCACTAAAATAATCTTCAATAACTAATCTCCATAAATATGATTTCACTAATGATAAATGACGAAATTAAATTTTGAAAAAAAAAATTATAAAAAATTTTAATAATACATTACCTGGAATGACAGTCAAATACGCATCTCCTTGGGACCTTCCTATGGTGTTGCTAGCAACGCTGGAGAAACGGCCAGTGTCATTAACAGACACGCTTTCAAACTTTAACACTTCCACGGTAAGATAATAATAAAATTCTCTCACTAGTTTAACTAAATCTTGCACTAAAATAATCTTCAATAACTAATCTCCATAAATATGATTTCACTAATGATAAATGACGAAATTAAATTTTGGAAAAAAAAATTATAAAAAATTTTAATAATGAATTACCTGGAATGACAGTCAAATACGCATCTTCTTGGGACCTTCCTATGGTGTTGCTAGCAACGCAGGAGAAACGGCCAGTGTCATTAACAGACACGCTTTCAAACTTTAACACTTCCACGGTAAGATCAGTGGACCCCTATATCCAACGAACATCATGTTAGTAATAAGAAATACTTCAAAATATGCAATATTTTCATTATCAGTTGGTGTCATTACATGAGAAATTAAGCACAATATTGCGAGAGGAATCATTATTAACCTAAAGGTAAGCAAAATGTTGCTGTTGCTTTTCTATTTTTAGTACAAAAATTGGTAATTATAATATGTGCAATAATATATATATCATTTCATAATACATTACTGAAGTAGATCAAGGTGAATAAATTTATGTAAATTATTTTATAACACATACATTTATATAACTAGATCTACTTAAAATCACAACTTGATATATATTCATAAATATAGGTACAGTAATACTATGAACAAAATATTAAACAAAATTTATCCATCACCAAAGAGAAGGATCATACATTCTTTTAAAATCATGATTAAAACATGAGTGAAACATTTTATCATAAATTGATTTAAAACATTCTTTTTTCCATACTGATGCAGTTTTAAAGTCATTTTTGTCCTGAATGTGCAACAAAATAGAATTTTGATGTGGAATTTGGCATAATTAACAGCGATTATAGATGAATCTCAAAAGATTACTAGAAAATACAGTAAAACCCCATGCTGTGGGACATCTTTATTAAGTGGACACCCCTATTAACACTCTGCCCGTCAAACACAGAGATCTCCGTGTTTGGTAACGAAACGATTGACCGCTAAACACAGAGATCTTTGTGTTTCAGGTTTTTTACGGAATCTGACAGATGGGGTAATTACCAACATGTACTAACAATTTGAACACTATATTCAGTCTGTACTGTAGGTATTTCACTATATGTTTGTTTACATTGAGCGTAGCGGTATTGATATACTTTCACGAAATTGCGATTATCTTAGCTTCGGGAGCAAATTTGCGTAAATCTCCAATAGTGAGTCATTTTCATTTTACTGTTATGGGTCACAGACTGTGATTAGAACCAAGTGTTTGGTACCATTGTAAAGCTAAAATGTTTGTTGTTCTTGTAGTAATCATTTCATGTCGATCTGATCATATACGCACTATCAACGAGCTTCAGAAAAGTGTTTTCGCTATAAAGTCTGGCGGTGGCTGATACTATGTTTTTAAACCCCTGGCAGTCAGAGTGTTAAGGTGGCAACCCTATTACAGGGACTATCCTATTAAGGGTACATTTTTTGAATATGAAGTGAGGGAAATGTATCTTTTAACACTACAGTCAAACCCTATTTAGGCAACACACCTGTTAAGGGGACACTTTTTTTGGTCCTGAAGTTGTCCCCTAAAATAGGGTTCCACTGTATTACTATATTTCTTACTGAATTTCAAAACATGTATGAAACTTTTCTTTTAAAGTAAATACTAAAAGAAAATAAATTTAATATGCAAACCAGCACCATATACAAAGCCAACAAAATCTGACACCGTCAAATACATCGCAAGATATTTAAATTATGGAAGTCATTTATTGACTGGCATAAACTATTTATTATTAGTATCATCTAGAAATTAATCTTCAGCAAATTCATCCTAATGATCAAGTAATCTTGGAAAAATACAAATTCAATATATATTAATGCATATCAAAGAGGGACTAAATTTGGTAGTTATTTGGTAGTTAATAGTAAGGATAGAGAGATATATACTTGTAGAAAAAAGCTGGCAAGATATTTGAATATCAAAGCAAAATCAACATAAACTTGTTTTAAGTAATCCAAAACCAACAGAATACATTTAAAGTAAAACATAATCCAAGAATCCCTGAAAACTGAAATTATATGAATAAACTAAAAAGAAAACTAGAAAAATAAAACGCAGAATAATGCGTATGTATCAAATATGGAAATGGGAAAATAAGAAGGAAACAAAAAATACCGCCCAAAAATTAACAAGAGACCCAAATAGCTATTAGTAATTATTAGTAGCAAATCCTCAGAATTTTAATTAGCATCTCATTAATTTGTTAATAAATCAAATCAAAGGGTTTATTGTGCCATTAAAAAATTATCTAACAACTGTGAGATTAATGTTAGGAGAATTTAATATGTATAATGCATGCACAATCTATTAGCGAAACAAATGTACTTACCTCATCTGTGAAATGTAAGAGTTTTGGGTCATAGTGCATCTTAATAATTAACAACAATGTAAAGAAAACAAATCCATCTTAAAGGTTCTGTTCTGAAGTTAATAAATGGATTTTTCTAATTAATTTGAATACATTGTTAAAATACAAATCAGACCTCAGTGATGGTATTGTTTTCTCTTCTATTGTGCACAACATGCTAATTAGCATTATTTCTAGTAATTAGATTAGGTACCTCTTTGGTGTTAAGCGTCTCTGATATAAGACACGTGAGAGGTGAAATTGTTTGGTTTTTGAAGACCATACTCGTAGCATAGCTGCAATTCCAGAATGGGTTGTCTAACCATTGCTCCTAATGAAACATGCAAAACAATCATTGTGGTTATTGTTAGTTTCTAACAAGTTTCACATGCAAAATCGCAAACATATGAGCTTACACTCGCGCCTGAAAAGCATAAAATGAGAGTTGTCAGCGTAGTCGATGTCTTCTTTGACAACTCCTAAATATTCTGAGTGAGGAGTAAAATAGAAAACAATATCCAGGCCACAAGATAGTGTAATTAAATATATTACAAAACATTTGATTGTTTTAATAGATAATCCATGTGTATATTCTTGGTGTATGTGTATGTACATACATTTATATACTCAATATATATGCACATCATATGTATATATTATATGGACATCTATTGAATATGTACGTTATATAACACTATGCATACATATTATTTAATTATTTAATTTACATATAATATATAATAGAAATGTAACAATACAAACTACAAATGAAGGTATGTGTTATATAAATATAAATGTTGTTTGATTCAAAAATGTGTCATTGATTTGAGTTATTTTGTTTTTGATGGTGATTATTATATTATATAACAAGTGATAGAACCAACACAGATACCAGTATGTAAATACAAGTTTAAAAAAAAAATTTTTGCTTGATGACTAAAAATATTATCGTCATACATTTTCAAAACTAGCATGCCAATCAAGAATATTATAAATTTGATAGAGCACAAATACACTCACATACATCACCATAAACAATAAAGATAAAAAAATTGCCCAAGATATAGTAAAACATTCATATTTTATGACTTAATTATATAGGTTAAACAATAAAATCACAACTTTTACTCTAAGAATAAACCAAAACTGAACAGCAAAATAATCTTATAATATGGAAATTGATAGTAAAAACAAACATATCTAGTATAATTAATTTTAAATATTTTTTTATTTTTAATTTGGTATAAATACAGTAGATAATAACCCAAATTAGCAGGCATAAATAATAAAATTAATAATATATTTAATTTAATCTAATATAACTATTTTTAAAACAAATATATCTATTGTAAACAATATAATAAATATATGATCTTATATAAATATTACAAAAATATATAATAATATAATAAATATTATTATCTTAATCAAAAATAAAAATATAATTATGTGATTATCTATGACACATAATTTGTATCCTCCTAATCCAATAATCATGCAATAAATTAAAAAATAACCAAATGAGATAAATAATTTAACATTGAAGAAAGAAATCCAAATCCATTAAAATTTGTTGATCCTAATAAAGACATGCAGTGGTTTTTGGAAAAAATTAAATCATAATTTATACTCCCAAATTGTCCGTGCTAATACCGGTTCCAATCGTGCAGAATTTTATATTAGGTTCACCCAGATAAAACAATAAACTTCTTAAATCTAATAAAAAATCAGACATGCCAACATAGATCCGTAATATCCTTAGAGTTGATGTTGAATTTAGCCTCACCTGATAAAATTCCTGAGTAGACAAAACATACACACGCACGCAATCACGTGCACAAAAAGGAAAAAAGATGGAAAAGGAAGCAATTTAAAGTAACATTTCATCAAAAATGAAGCAAGTACAACTACGCATTTGTATTTAACTCTCTTTTTTCATAACATAAAAAAAAACTAGTTTTCTAAACAACATGATATTTATACATAATAAAATGAATACTAAATATACTTATTGAAATCATTCATGCAACTTTCATAAGCTTACTGGTACACATCAAAAGACCTGGAAATCTAGGTCTCATTTATGTCATCCATGCTGATTCATGCCATCAAACATTCACAATCCATGCAATAGTAACATCAATCCATGCAGCGTCTGTGGGATTTTACCACCTCTTCCCCCCTCCTTCTTATCAAACCCTCCCACGTTCTATTATTTTCTTTGTTAAATAAAGGAAGGCTAAGTGACGGCCAAAATGGTAGGGATACGCTACTTTATTAAAAATCACTGATGACAAAGCTTACAGAAATTGCAATTTTTTAAATAGGGAAAATAACATTCAATTTTTGAATGTCAAACGTTAAAGCTATTCAATCAGGAATGTCTGAAACAAAAATACACACAATCTGATCAAATACTTATGCATAGCCTAAGAAGCCAAAACTATACAAATTAGTAGGATAAAAGATATGTATGTAGGGAACATGGTTGTCTCTTGCAATAAATACTGAAGGAGAGGCATTCATGAAAGAATATCCACATCCGAATGGCAACGACTCAAAACGGGAGAACCACAAGGGTCGAAAACATCTGAAAACACCTGCAAGATATGTTTTCATGCAACACAGGGGAAAAGAACGACAATGCAGCCAGGCATACTCTCAACAATCATAGTGATCAATTATCAACAAGACGGTCCATCATATTATCAAAGCGAATTAGGATGATTGTTACAGATACTTTAGTAACTAGATATTTCTTGTGACATTTTTTAGGGACTGACATTTTTATAGGGTGGATATTTTCTTGATTATTTTATGCCCTATTTTCATATTAATAAATTATACAGTAGACATTCTATCAGATAAACTTACCCCCCATTCTGATATTAGTGCGTCACGCTGACTCTCTATTCTGGTGGCATTGCCGTCATTCCAGCGGAGCCAAACCACGTACGGATGTAGGTCACTCAATACTGAACATGAAAAAGTCACTGTAGAGCCCTCAACGACAGTTTCATTCTCACTTGGTTTAATGTGCTTGATAATTGGTCGATGAGTAAGACGTTCTATTAATGAATATATTACATACAATGAAATTATTTTGACAGAATAGCTATTACAGTAGTAACAATATTTTTTTCATCATTTGAAATTGTTCTCTGATATATTATATACACATCACATAAAATAACACCATTACTTAGGATGATTCCAAATGATTTGCTACAAAAAAAACCCCAACACAAACCAAACATAAAATGATAATATGTACACCTTTATGTACAAGCCCATCTCTAGCCTTTTTTAAAATATATTTTACACAAAATGTTACTCATGCTCACATATTAATTTTAAAAGTATAATAAACCAATTTAAGAAAAAAATAAGAACAGATATATTCTAGGATGACATTAAACAACACCTAAGCCAATAGAGCGCACATTTTCCAGTCCTGTACTACACAAAATTTTAACTAATTATTGTCAGGTTGCCTTTAGCAACAAAATAGTAAAATCACTTAAAAAATAAAATATCAGTTACTATATATAAAAAACATTAAATTCTCATGTATGTACGGTATCATTAAACTAATTTTCTGCTGGGTTATGAAATCTACAAGATGATGTTTGAACCCGATAAGCAAGAGATGACCATGAAATAATAATTATGCATACACCATTTTATTTGGCATATTTTGAAACAGCGCCACCAATGTCCAAAGACTCATAAACATTACACTGGGGAGCAACAGCAACAAAAAAAACCCAAAAACAATGCAGGTTTTATGCGTCCCTATTTAATTATTTTTTGGTTTTGGAATTTAGTTTTCAAAGACTAGGCTACAAGAAGAAAGAAAGCCTTGCACCGGCCTCAGGTAAAGATTGGTAACTAAGTGAAATGTCCCCCAGTAGCAGTTACCAGGTTCTCTGATAATTTCGTTTAAATTATAAAAAAAGATATAAAACATGGTCCCAGTGAAATAAAAATTAAATGCTTAGATTGGCTTTTACAATGCATGGCTCCACAAACAATATAATACCCAAATAAATTTTATGATATGCTATTCATCAAATAAAAATAAGACAGCACCAACTAAACAAAAAGAACTGGCATGAAAATACTATTTTATACTTTACATACTTTCCTCTAAAAAAAAAAAAAAGAAATTATATTAAAAATAAATAATAATTGCACATTACAAACGTAATGGTATAACCCATATATCACCTAACCACTTAAACAGCTTACTTGAGAAATTGTCTGTTTCTTCACAGGTACAGTGTAAATATAGAAACAATGTAAGATCATTAAAAATATACATGTAAAACCATAATTATTATGCTTCATTAAAAGAGTAAAATAACTTGGTGGTTAGGATTATTTCTATATATTCCTGGGTTTGAATCCTGAGACACCAGTATTTTTCACTACTTAAAATTTAATATATAGAGCATCAATCCTTACTTTAAATGAACTTTGATATGCTGTTGCAGTAATTAATAACTAAAACATAATCTAATAAATAAAAAAAAGAGAAACACTAACCTTGGACTTTTACTTGGAAGGTGTAATTAATGGAACCAAACTCATTTTCTACAATACAAGTGTAATTTCCAGTATCATGCGGCAAAGCATCTCGCATCTTCAACTTTCCATCGGTTTGAACACCCTTTTATGAATTAAAAAAAAAAACACTCATCAAAAACTTAAATAAGATTCTGTTGATCCATTATACAACCAAAAAAGTCTGAGAATTACCATGTTGTTTGTAGTGGAAATACCAACGAAAGGTCACTATTAAATGTCCGAACCACCATCACTCCAGGAAATATTGCAGATTTGTAACAGATTTTTAATGGTCAAAATACTGTCCCTAAAGTGGGATCTACAAAAAAAAAAAAGTCTAAGGGTGCATGTTCTAGACCCCCTAGGGGAAGAGTTTTAAAAACTTTAAAATTTGTACAATTTCTATAAGATAAAGATCGAACATAACATACCTTGCCACCAATACGTTTCCAAGAGGGATCATTGTTCTTCAACCATGTTATCTTAGGTGTGGGATACGCATCCATTGGACAAGTCAATTTAATTGTATTCTGAGCTGGAACGATCACCAGTGGTCGCATTTCAACGTTAAACACTGGTGCCGACTTCTCGCGTGGCGGTGCTTCTGAATATATTTTTTTAAAAAAATGATTTACAACTATTAACTTCACTTTGAAACAAAAGTAAATGACATTCACATCAAAAACAAAATATGAAATGTTAACATTAGTATCTAACTTGTGCAATTCAAGTGTGGACCATTGAATATATCCTTTCTAGAATTCCCTAGAACCGTACTAACCTGTGACATTAAGTGTTATATTTATCGTCAACTTGCCATAACTGTTATTACCAATACATTGGTAATATCCTGTATCTGACATGTTAGCATTCATGATGACTAATTCAGTGTTGGATACTGTAATGCGTCGGTTTTCTTGGACTTGTTCAGCTGATCTCAACCACTGGATCTTCACTTTTGGTATGCCAATTATCGGGCAGGCCAATGTCACATCTTCGCCCTCAACAGCATGCATGTAACCATGGTCTTCTTCTACCAAGTAGAAAGGCTTACCAGGGTCTGTGAAATTGTGAATAACATACTTTTTAAAAAGGGAAGCTAATTATTGAGTGGGTGACTAAACTATTTTCTACCCCCTACTCATTCAATTCAAAGAGAACCTTACAAATTTCCAAAAGGGGTCCAAAACTAGGGGTTGCCTAGCGCCTGTTAGTTTTCCCGGAATAAAATCCCTAAATGGTGAATGGAGAGATTTTTAGGTTTTGGATGGTCCAAAATTATACTTTCAGAATACAGTATTATTAGCGACTCATTCAAAATAACTTCTTTTGGATTGACAAGTTAATATAGTAATCTAACATCATCATAGTGGCAGCATTATCTACTTGATACTAAATACAACTACTCACATTTTACGAGCACTTCAAACGTATAGTTAACAGAACCGAAGTCATTAATGACAATACAAGTATAGGTTGCACTGTCTTCTAGCGTAGTTCCCTTCAATTTCAGCTTATCCTCAATGATTGTATGCTATGAAATAATAAATAATGACATTTTTGAAAAATATTTCTTTCCTTCAACTATATTGTTGATAACAAAATTAAGATAAACAATTAAACCATCTTTCAAGGAGGTTATTAACATTCCCCTTAACTTGCAATGCCAGCTGTCAGCCTGGTTGGCAAATATGCTTGGCCTTAAAAGATTGAAAGTCAATGTACTGATAATTATAAAATGTCATCTTACATCTTACTATATTCTTACTAATGTCAGTAATTGCAGTACGAGTATATCTTTTTTAGTCAAAATATTCTGCGTTTATTAACCTTGGACTTAGTAAAGTGCACATTATAATTACCTTGAAAACAAGAATTCATATCAAAATAGAATCCATTTTATTGCATAACAGAAATGCCATAAAACTAAAACACCATTGACAACAAATGTGTAATTAAACACAATACTTCAGTGCACCTTACCTTCTAATTACTACTAAAATGTAACAGAAAAACAACAAATTAAGAACACTGAGTGCATACCTGACCAAGAGACCAGTTTGTATTGCCATTCTTCAACCAGACAATTTCTGGGGGTGGGGATGAATCAGTCGGACACCGTAACTTTAGGTTTTTGCCGACAGCAATGTAGTATCTGTTTGCCATCTGTTTGTAAAATTGGGGAGCTTTGCCAGCATTTTTACCAGCTTTCATTTCTGAGAAGAAATGTATAAAAAGAATTTGGTTAAATGCTTTATTACCTTAAGATTTCCGTCAATGAAGAAACTATTAGTGGACTCCCTCGTGAGTTACTGTCATCGATATTATCTTCCTCAAAACACTTGCTCATTTAAGTTTTCTTTTAACTCTGATTGATATCAACATAAACGATAATTAAAAATAACCACACACTTAACTTTTAATACAGATCTGTTTCTATTATTATCTTTTAAGTAATAGGAAATAAAATTAAAATAGACAAGCTATACAATACAGTGAATTGAAAAGTGCATTCTGCTACACAAGTTAGGTAAACCTATCTTCATCCTTGTAAGGTTATTGAAAATTCAAAATGTCAATATCATGTGCTTGCCATCCTGTGATTTTGAACCAGTAAAATTTTTCCCAGGCTTAATTTTCTTATTTTTTGCCAATTTCAGGCTCAAAATCTTCTTATTTTACACACTTTTCAAAGACAGAAAATTGTTGTACAGCAGTATATTATTACTGTACTGTATTATGATATTCGTAGGCATATACTGTATGTCAGAAAAGATTTGTTGGTTTCTCTGTTTTTCTAAATAGAAAACCTCATTTGACATTTTACCAAAGCCTCAATTTGTTCTTATTTTGTTCTTATTTTTTAAGCAATTTTAAAAGTATAAAAGTATTTTAATTGTATGAAAGTATAATTTCATTAAATACTGGTTGGCTTATTCTACCACTATATACTACCATGATGATCAACAACTATGGAAAGGACTTATTTTCATGACAATGAACTTAGTGAGACTCACTTGTAACAGTGACATTAATAAAGGCTTCCTTTGAGCCAAACTTGTTTGTTGCGTTACATCCATAAATCCCAGAATCTCCAACTTCCGCAGCCAAAATCACTGCTGTGTGAACACTAAATGATACACGCGAGTGTTCTTCTAACAATTGTCCATCTTTTGACCATGTGATATTAGGCGTTGGAATGCCCGACAGAGGGCATTTTAGAGTTATATCTTCTGCTGTTGATGCATGCAGATCTCCAACATGAAGATTTGAGTTAAAAGATGGTGGTCCTAAAAAAGAATTTATTGAAAGGTTAATTTTCATGTGGAAGGTATGTACATGCTAAATGTATTCCTTTAGTTCAGATGTATCAATACACCTGAGAAATACATTTCTAATATATAAAGAAATAGAACAGAATAATCAATACCATAAGCTCTATGCTTACGTTTAATATAAATTACTATATAGCTAGTAAATTTTGTAATGAAAATCATCATCCAAAATCATTCATTGTAAAAGTATTAAAATAATCTTTGACCTTTGAAAGCAAACAGCAAATAAAATACATAATTATGACTATAGCACGACAAGATAAGTTATCTTCATACAAGGTTCAACGACCTACAACATGACCACATACTAAGGCACAACCCCACAGGAATGCCCTAGGCAGTCTGTAGGAAGGTACCACATCCTAGGCACATTGAGTCATGCTGTAATATTTTCATTTTCACTTTCTTACGGACAACACAGTAGAATCACTGTTTTATTTCAAAAACAATTAATTGGGATATTAATACTAAAAGATCTCAACCAAACTTATGTATGGTGTAATGCTAGCACCGTGCAAGCATAAAGCTTCGCCTCACTACTATAAAATCTGAATATATTGTTTTTATTAAAAGAAAACCAGCTATTATTTAACAAGATAACAAGGAGGCCAAGATTATAGTTATATTATTAACCAGACATCTATACACATTATAATACAGTATACAGATTAAAGGTTAGATATAAACCTAATATTTAATTTGGTTCCTATGCTTTGTTGTACACCTGTCATAAGTATGGTTGACGACCTGTTTTATAATAACAATAGTGGACTTTACACATAAGAGATAATATAGGTACTCCAATTGGCGGGCTTGTGATCATGTGGTCTCTCTTGTTATACTTCAAACATCATAGACAATTATACATACAGTACCGTTATATTTTAAACAAATATGGTATATAAACTGTAATAAGCCAAACATGAGATATAGTATGAAAAGGTATACTTGTACCCCAATACATTGAGAACTTTAAAATGAATAAGCAACAGTATGGACTAAACATTTTCACTGATAGGCATTTCACAAAAAAACAATTCTTAAATTAGTAGACAGAAATTTATGAGTACAAATTATGTTAAAGACTATATATGAATGGTATTATTTAAACCTTTTTATTTTCTGTAAAAAAAAAAAAACATTTCATGATTTTGTAAATGTTCATTATATTTGCTTGGAAGTAAATCTCAGAGATAGGATAACCACTGTTTATCCAACATAAACACAATGGATTAACCAATTGTAAATTTATGTTTATAGTTTTAACAATGATTAGGAGAGCAGGGCAAGTAAGGATGTGTGGAGTCTCCTAGTGGTAATTATTCCTTAGATGAAAATAGATTCAGCTTGTACCCAATGTATGGATGACATACAAAACAACGATTATCTAAACATTGTTTTTGAAGAAACTTAAAATGAAAATAATAACTTGAATTCCTCAGTAAAAGTAATCCCACACCTATTTTATTCATCAATAATAAAGTGCTTTTTTTGTTATTTCATTATTATTGATGTCTACGTATAGTCTCGTTTTTGTAAAAACACCTTCAAGGTGAAAAGGTTCCATGAATTAGTAAAGAATGTTTTTTTTTTTTTGACAGTTTCTATATTAAAGATAATACACTTTAGGAGCCATGGGCCACTAAAAATATTATGTTTGTGAAGATTTGCGCTATAAGCTCATTACAGCATGGAGGTATTATCGAGGAGATCACTCGAAAAAGCCACGTGCAAGCAGCGCTATGCATGTGAGCCAAGAGCAAACTGCCGCAGCATGTGAAGAACGTTTGCGCGATGCCTTTAAAGTTTGATGTGATCCCCGCCATCAACTGCTCAGCAGGCTTAGATTACCAAAAAATTGAGCATGGCGAAATGGAGAGCACCTTCTTTTCTCAATGCGCACTATATACAGTCAATCACTACGGCTGCGCAATCGTTTACATTTTGAAGCTGATACATTTATCTCTCATGAAATATCAAACATATTAATATTTTCCACAAAAAAGTTTCGAATTTAATGAAAAATTTATATGAGCTTTGAAAGTATAGTATATTTCAACTTCAATTTCCATAAATTGGATTAAATTCGATAATTCTAATTTTAACAGATATTAATTAATAAATGATTGAGGATTATATTAAACTAAGTCATTTTAGGGTTAACAAGGGTTAACTACTCGAAAAATCAATCCAAAGTCAGAGTGATTTTCAGTTTTACACTGCCTTAGCATTTTAGTCAAACCAGTCAATTTTTACACAAACACAGAAGTAATTGTAACAGAAATATTTTGTGAAATCTATTCGTAAAATATACACATAATAACATACTAAAAGTCCGAAAAAATCCAACCAGGGAAACATTGTTAATTTTAAAGATATTTAATGAGTTAAAATCAAATGGTTTATCGCGTTTATAAAAGCATGTCGTTGCCAAGTTGTTGCTAATGAAAAAAATGTTAATAATAAGGTAATACACCTGCGCGCGATCCAAAGGCGGGGAAACACATTGGTTTTTGGCGTCAAAGGGAACTGTTGCCGAGTGATCTCTTTCTCAATAATACCTCCATGATTACAGTAATCAAAAACATAATTTTTATTGAATGTTCACAAAATGTACTATTTATTTAAGTCTTCTGGAAAAAATATTTTTTCTCTACACCAGCAACACGGCTGGTCTTTACTGCTGGATAGAAGAGATCACCATGAATTGTCCATGGTACAAAAATGTCTGAGTGGCAGAGTTCCAACATATTTTGATAATATCTTTACCCCTGTAGGTAGACTTCACAACCATCGGACTAGGGCCAGCTCTTCAGGACATTTGTAATTGCCCAAAAGTCGGACCGAATCTGGGAGGAGGAGGTTTGCCTACAGGGGCAGGAAAACGTTTAATTCTAATAATAATAATAATAATAATTTTAATAACTAGCCATTTTTGCTGCTGTATTTCTCTAAATATATTTATAAATGTTTGTATTGATCTTATATTATTTCAACAATTTTAAAAATGTTATGACGTTAATGTATTTTTTCTGGTTTATGCATGTTGCTTGTTTTTATGAATTGTGAATGTTATTGTTGACTTTTTGTACTGGGTCCTGTGGGAGAACAATAGATATGCTACTGAACAGGTTTTCCCAGTACACAAAATATAAAGAGATAGAAAAAAAATTAAGGAAATGGCAGGATAGGTAGTTTATATAGATAAACATCCTAAAATACGATAATTTGAATTGGTGTTGGTGAAAACTGGCATTAACTTTACATATATTGTAGCAATCAATGTCAAAGAGGCATGCATTATTTAATCCAATAACAAAGGTTAAAATTATGCAGTTAATAGAGATAGGTTAAAATGTTAAATTTCAGATAATTCCATACTTAAAATGTAATTTATAAGGCCATAACATCTTTAACAATTTGGATCATCTCATCTTCATCCTTTTTTAGGCCTTATGGATTTTTAACTTATTCATTTGCTGTAAATATTCCTTGAAGATTATTATTTCCTACATAATTCAATCATTTTTTTTTACTGAAAGAAACCTGTTAGGGCATTATAATATTCAAATATATGATAAGAAAACAAAAGAACAATGCATATACCGGTAATTCCTAAATCTTAACAATGAAAATTACAAAAATGCAACCAATCTTTGAATGTACCAGCATGTTTCTTTTAACTATATAATCTCTAAAAAATCAAAGGGAGACTTGTGTAGCGATAAATATAAAATACTAATATAAATACAATGTTCTTGTTGAGTAATATCTATTTTAAAAACTATTTTAAATAATATGGTTGGTACTTGAGTCTTTTATTTGTTTAAATTACCAGTTATACACAAGACAATGAATCAAGCAAAGATGTTATTTTTTTTTTAACATTCTATATTACTATAGGCCTATAAATATTAGAATATTTGCTATGCAGCCTCAATTTATCTGATCTTTTATATTTTGTTAATTATAATTTTGGTATATCAGATTCCTTCTTGATAATAAGTTGACATAAAACTAAAACTTTGATTAGTATAACACAACATACATTTCTTAAAATTATTGTTTTTAGTTTAATTTATGTTCTGCTTCTCAGTTTATATTTCTTTATCTTTTGTTTTACTGCTGTACTACTCTATCTATAACATGTATTCGTTTGCATTTGGTGAATATCATTAATTACTACAACAGATGCAGCATTTATAGACTGCCAAACGATGATGATTTACTGAGATGAGCCGCTAGTAGAAATTCAATGAAAATAAATGCATTACTCATTGCATTTGGATTGATGACAAAACTAGACAATAGTATCACTGATGGTAACCTTGCATTTTGATAGGTTCAAAGACTGGCTGGGAACTGGGAACTTTCCCACCCTGGTCAAATAACACAACACCTATGCAACAGCATCTCCAGGGACCTAAAAAACCCTGCCCTGGATTGGGTTCATGGCATTAGCAAGTACACTATAAGGAACTACAGCATACAAAGGCAGGTACCTACATAACTACTGCTTCCTTACATGCTTTCTTCTGTTCTGTCACATATCTCTAAAATATATCTGCTTAGTTTTGACCAGAAATCATGTTATTATTGACTAATACTTTTGGAATTAAGTGACATTTGAGATTATGAATTTAACAATAAATCAACACAAAAGAACAGCAGACTGGTTTCTGTAAAGCCAGGGCAACAACATAAATAAAATTATTCTTAATAGTAATACAGACAAGACAAACAGTAGGGTGTATTTATTCTCATTCAAGAGGATTTTTTTTTTCATTCATTCTTTGTTGGTCCACTATACAGCCCAGATCTCCCTCCAATTAAAGACCACTTTTGGGACTGGGGTTTCCATGGTCTTTAGCAGCTTTGGTCTCTAATGAGAATAATTTGTTAATATGGGACCACAGAAAATTGGTCTTTAATTAGAGGTGGACTTTCATTAGAGA